TGTGTGTGTGTGTGTGTGTGTGTCTGTCTGTCTGTCTGTCTCTATGTGTCTCTCTCTGTCCCCTTCTCTTTCTCTGTATCTCTCTCTATCCCCCTGTCTCTCTGTCTCTCTCTCTTTCCTCTCCTCTCCTCCACACACTTCCCAAGGTCTCACTATGGTCTCACTATGTAGTCCAGACTGGCCTTGAACTTCAGATCTTCTGACTCAGACTCCTGAATGCTATTGTTACAAGCGTGTCCCACCGTGCATGGCTCAGCATGCATTTCCTGAGAGCCTGCTGTACACTAAGCCCTAAGATCCCACAGTCTGTGTGATCTCTGGAAGACTGGGATGGGGAGCAATGTGCTGAGGTGACATGGGCTTTGGGACCTTCCCAGGAGTCCCCACTTCTCCGCCACACAGAGGAGGCAAGGGGAAGCCCCAGCTTCCCACTCTTGGACCTCAGTTCTCTTGAAGCCATCCTCCTGCCTCTGGGTCAGGAGAAGGCTTGGTACTGTTGCTGGTACTCCGTAATCTGAAGATGTAGAATCTGAAGTACCCAGACACGCTCACTCACCCATGACAGGAAGCACATACAATCATGTGACTAAGATGCAGCCGTGGGGACTTGACCAACTCAGAGATGGACAGAGGTGGAGGGCAGAGCCTGGGCCTGGGGTGGTTGTCTCAGGCTCAAAGTAAAGAACTTTCTAGATGTGGAGATTGGAAGGAATTTATGCCTTGCCACCCACTGCCAGCTCCTTCCCGGGAGTCTCCATTCTCGGCTACCACCACAGTTTGCCCAGCAATAAATATTTGCTACACTGGAGAAAGGAACACAGAAGCCTGCTGTGTAAGCCAGATGCTGAGTTGGGCTGGGCTGTGGGGACTCAGGAAGCGAAAGAGCTCCCTGCAGGAGTTCATAGTCCAGGAGAGAAGTCAGGTATAAACAGCCATGTTCTGAGGCAGGGAGGGCTGTACTGGGGGAACGTGGAGTACCAGACTGGGAGCTTCCTAATGGAAGGGCTTGAATGGGACTCTCACAGGAGCTGGAGGAGAAGGGCCCTTGGGGGAACGTGGAGTACCAGACTGGGAGCTTCCTAATGGAAGGGCTTGAGTGGGACTCTCACAGGAACTGGAGGAGAAGGGCCGGCTCACTGTGCATCTGTACACCTTCTCCAATTCCAGCCCCACCCCCTTGTCCTTTCTTACCTGTATGCCATTTGTTCCCCAGCAACCGGTGAGCTAGAGAGGACTGTATTATCTGGCTCATTTGTCAGGGAGCCAAGGTCTAGGAAAGCTCCTAGCTAGAGATCTTCTTGGAAAGTAGACCTTTCTGCCCCCCCCCCAAAAAAAAAGAAAAGAAAGAAAGAAACACAAACAAACAACAACAACAAAAAGGGCATGCTAGCACCACCTATAATCCTAATATTCTGGAGGCTGAGGCAGGAAGATGATTAGTTCAAGATCAGACTTGACTATATAGCCAAAAACTGCCCTCAAAGACATCTTGGGAAGGCAAGGGGAGGCAGGGCTTAAATGTAGTACAGTAGTGGAAAACTTGCCAAGCATGTTGGTTGTTTCCATCCATAGAACCAGACAAAAAGGATGTGGATGCATGTTTCCTAACATGAAACACTGACCTGTATACTAAGTGAAAAGCAGCATTTGGACAATCTGTACAGTATGATTCTGATTTCTTTTAATACAGAGAGCTAGGAAGATGGCTCACTGGGTAAAAGTGCTTGCCATAAAAACTTTAGGACCATATTTAGGGTCCCCTGCACCCATACAAATGCCAGACAGGCATAGTGGCCTGCCTAGGAGGCACAGATGGGGTCCCTGAAGCAAGCTGGCTAGCCAAATGAACACCATCTGGGTCCAACTGAGAGATCTTGCCTAAAAAGTATAAGGCTGGGAAGCACATGCCTTTAACTCCAGCACTGAGGAGGGAGAGGCAAAAAGATCTCTGCAAATTCAAAGCCAGCCTGGTTAGCACAGCAAACTCTAGGCCAGCTGGGGATACAGAGTAAGACCCTATCTAAAGAAAGAAAAATATGGTGGAACTCAATCGCGGAGGATACTTAGCATCAACCTCAGACCCCCATGTGTGTGCATAACATACATACACATGTTAAAAAAAAAAAGAGAGAGTAGCAAGGCATAGTAGTGGCACACACGGAGAATCCCAGCACTCATGAAGATGAGACATTGGGCAGTGGTGGCGCACACCTTTAATCCTAGCACTCAAGACAGGTGGATCTTTATGAGTTCAAGGTAAGAATTATCTAGAGTGAGATTTATTATTAAATTTGTTTATTTACTTTATGCACATGTGCATATGCCATGGTAAGTATGTAGAGGTCAGAGAACAATTTAAAGAGGTCTCTTACACCTTGTAGGTTCTGGGGATCAAATTTAGGTCATGATGCTTGGTGGCCAATGTCTACCCCCTTAACGGGTGATTTTTATATCAAGTAATTAGTTCTTTTGGGGAAGGGGATTTGAAATGAGTTTCACTTGAATCTCAGGTTGTCCTGGAACTTACTATGTAACCTGGGCTGGCCTCAAAGTCTCATGGCAATCTTGTTGCTTAAGACTCGCACGAGCTGGGGTTATAGGCACAAACCACGAGACCCTGTGATTATTTTCGCAAGAAGAATTACAGAAGTAATGACTGCTGTAAAAGTTAAGACCAAAGAACAGAGAATGGTAGGGGTGGGGAGTAGTGCCTGTCACTGACCACTTCCTGTCGTCCCCTCTGCCAGGCACTCACACACAGGTGGTGCAGGTGAACGACTCCATGTATGGCTTCATCGGTACAGATGTGGTCCTGCACTGTAGTTTTGCCAACCCACTGCCCAGTGTGAAGATTACCCAGGTCACGTGGCAGAAGTCCACCAATGGCTCCAAGCAGAACATGGCCATCTACAACCCAACTATGGGGGTTTCCGTACTGCCTCCCTACGAGAAAAGAGTGGAATTCCTGCGACCCTCCTTCATTGATGGCACCATCCGCCTCTCCCACCTGGAGCTGGAGGACGAGGGCATGTACATCTGTGAATTTGCCACCTTCCCTACAGGCAACCGTGAGAGCCAGCTCAATCTTACCGTGATGGGTAAGCTGCCCTGGGCTTCTTTCCCTTGCCTGTCTAGAGGGCTTGGCCATCCTTAGCATGTACCTCAGTGCCCCAAACACCCCTGAGGGTTGGCATGCTTCCTTAACTCCAGGCATAGTGCCTCTCACTTAACTAGCCAGACTGTCCATAATTTCCCGAGCATTGGGGGTAGGGCTTTAGCTTTGGGCAGGGGCAGTATTTAGGTTGGAGCCCCCCACCAAGGGACAATGTGTTGGAGACTAGGATGCAGCAGGTGCTATGGACACCATAGTAAGGAAGAAAGCTGCTTGGCTTGAGCATGCCAAGACTCTAAGAAGCCTAACAACAGGACTATTTGTGCAGCAAGAAGGATTTACTGGCATGAGGAACTTCCCAAGAGAAATTCTGAGAAGGGCTTTGGCAAAGCACAGCTGAGAGGCAGGGGTGACAGGCAACTTCAACTGATGCCATGGTGTTGTGCCCACAGCCAAACCCACCAACTGGATCGAGGGCACCCAGGCAGTGCTTCGAGCCAGGAAGGGACATGATGACAAGGTCCTGGTGGCCACCTGCACCTCAGCCAATGGGAAGCCTCCCAGTGTGGTGTCCTGGGAAACACGGCTAAAGGGCGAGGCAGAGTACCAGGAAATTCGGAACCCCAATGGCACAGTGACAGTCATCAGCCGTTACCGCTTGGTGCCCAGCCGGGAAGCCCACCGGCAGTCCCTGGCTTGCATCGTCAACTATCACCTGGACCGCTTCAGGGAGAGCCTCACACTCAACGTGCAGTGTGAGCCAGGGCCAGGGGCCCTTCCTACCTATTGCTACGTGCCCTCCTCTCTGCCCTTTAGTCTCTCCACTGCTTTCTCCTCCAAGATGCTGCGATTTCACCATTCTCTGTCACTACCCCTCCTTCTAAACTGCACTCTGAGGTCTTGTGTAGTAACATCTCCTAATACCACGCCTTCAGTCTTGCAGTGCCAACTTGCTTTTCCTTCTAGCTGCCCCTGTGTCCCCACCGTCTCCCTTAACTATGCTTTCTGTCACTTCCCTGCCTGCCCTCCTGACCTCACCCACTTCCAACATCCTCCCTTGCCTCACAGATGAACCTGAGGTGACCATTGAGGGCTTTGATGGCAACTGGTACCTGCAGCGGACAGATGTGAAGCTTACATGCAAAGCGGATGCCAACCCCCCAGCCACCGAGTACCACTGGACTACGTGAGTGCTGTAGACTGTACACACACCTCTGCATCTGGATGCTAGGGTTTGGGACTAATAATCTTGCCAGCGGGGGGGTTCCCTCATGACCTGCTTCCCTTCACTCACTAATAAAGGATTTTATCATTTTCCTTGGGTGAGTCATCCCACCCCAGTCCCCATTATTTATTTTTATCAAGGTGTCCCCTGGGAAGCTGGTGTTTGGAACACCCCAGTCTTTGTTCCTAGTCCTTCAGTACAACAACCCCAGGTTCTCTGGGTGGAGGCAGCAGTAGACCCCTGTGTCCCACTATCCCATTCGTAGCTTTACAGTCTGGTTCTTGACCTTCAGAGAGGAACATACCCCTCTAGCCAACTTGATGTCCCAAGCCATCATTCCTTCCACAGAGACCTAGGTGGGACTGAGACAGGGTGTTGGGGGTGGGGAAAGCTAAGAAAGTTGACATGAGTGGCCAGAAGGCAGCAGCCAAGAGTGAGTCTAAACCATTTTCTAGGGAGTGGAGGACCCTGGCAGGTCCTCCCTGTCAGCCTGCATTTCCAGGCACAAAAATGCTTTTGAAGGTGAGGGTGGGCAGAACCTGCTTGCCAGGGCCAACTGGCCCTGTAGCCAGAGCAGCTGCTGGCTTAACTGAAGAACAGCTAACAAGGGAAGGATGAAGGTCTTTTGTACTTGGCAAACTCCCAGGATGTTCCCCACACGAAAACGTCTTGAGACATGCCCAGCAATGGCAAGATGATGAATAGGAGCTCAACCATCCCTGTTTCCCCATCCTAATAGCTTCTCCAAATGCACTCGGCCTCAGTAGCCCCACTAAAGGAGAACTAGGGTCAGGACCCAGGTGTCGCTGTTGTCAACCCATTACCAAAGAGGACCCAGGAGCAGTAGAGCAAGCACTGTACTGAAGCCTGCAGACCCATCTGGCCTCTGCTCTGCTGCTTCCTAGCTGTGTGTCCTTGGCATTGAATCTTGAGTTTCATCTGTTAATGTGGGAGTGGTACCCACCTGCTTTGAATACATTTCCGTGGTGAGACAATCAAACATGAACTGCAAAGCATGGTGGCCCAAGCCCTGTAATCTCAGCACCAGAGAGGCCCAGTCAGAACTGCTATAAGTTCTGAGACTACCTGGGCTACATAACAAATCCCTGTCTCAAGAAAAAAAAAGAAAGAAAGAAAGAAAAAGAAAGGAAGGAAGGAAGTAAGGAAGCAAGGAAGGAAGGAAGGAAGGAAGGAAGAAAAAAAAGCATGAATTACTGAATAATAGAAAACTGAGATGCAAGACATTATTGTTATTCTTTTTCCTCCATCTAAACAGACCCCACTATATGCCCTCAGAGCCGGTAGATAGCACCAGAGCCAAGTGGATGCCCCAGCTGCTGATTCTTGGAGTTGGATGGAAAGTCCTAAACCCTCACTGTGTCTCCCAATACCTACAGGTTGAACGGCTCTCTCCCCAAGGGTGTGGAGGCCCAGAATAGAACCCTCTTCTTCCGAGGACCCATCAACTACAGCCTGGCAGGAACCTACATCTGTGAGGCCACCAACCCCATTGGCACCCGCTCAGGCCAGGTGGAGGTCAATATCACAGGTAAGAATCTTCAGCCGCCCCTGCTGCTCCCCAACCTCAGGTTCCTCCATAGCTGCACCTGCTCCTTTCATTGTACCTGGTGAGAAGTTTGTATCTTCCGCCACCTCGGCCATGGTTCTTTCTTTACATCTTTCTCTTGCTTTAAGGAGAGGGGGGTGGGGGGTGTTATGGGTTCAGTCAGAGTGACCTTCAGGGGAAGGAAGTGCTGTTTTCAGCAATGACTGACTGCTTGCATCAGGGAATTCATGCTGGCTTGGTGGGACAGGTCTGCAGGCCAAGCTAGCTCATGTCCTCCAAGGTCTCTGCAGCTGGAGTTGAGGAAACCTGTAGGGCTGCAGAGGTGAGGCTGGCCTCTTGCAGAACACAAGACAGACAGTAAAGTAGAGACTGGTGTGAGCAAGCACCCTGAAGGCACTGGACACTTATGTCTCGAGACCGAATTGCTCTTTTCCCAGCTTCTTCTCTGTCATTACATTAGGGGTGAGTCAGTCAGGGGAAATGAGTGCTCTGATGCTCCACAGAGAGACTTCACCTGGGATGTGACCCGAGCAGGCCTCATCTGTAAAATGGGGTAGTGTGACCTGCCGTGAAGAAAGGGCTGCTGTCCAATGACACATAATGTAGGTCATATAACCTAGCACAACTCAGTCTGTCAGTAAGTGGCCACAGCTCTGTTATTACTGTCGTGACCTCCATCATTATCATTGTCATTAACAGGAGCATCAAAACAAATGCACCAAGGAGTAAATTGCTACCAAATTGCCACCAAACTTCAAAAGGGGGAGTGTTTTTAGTATCAAACCTGAGCCGGTTGCAGTGTGAGAAAGTGACACATAGAACCTTCCAAAACAGGAAAAAGGAACATCCCACTGCCATCAAGGAGACAGGATATAATATGCACAGTGACCTTGCGCTCCCAGGAAACTAGGTAGTGGCAACAGATTCTAGCTAGACACAGGTTTGGGGGAGCCCTGAGGATTTGCTGGCTCTGAGAGTAAGACATCATCCATGGGTATATTCCAAATACATCTGCACAAAGAGCAGCTGGCGCTATTCAGGGACCACATTGACCTGTCCTTGGGGCTGTTCTGTCACCTAGGAACAAAGGGTGTGGTCACTTAGTACTTTCTTCACCCCCTACCCCTGACTCTGAGAGTGTTTGTAGGAGAAGAGGTGCTGGGATGGAGCCTGCTAACAGCCAAGGTAACCTGCCATGATAGGGTTTGGGAGTTCTATAGGGTAACAGACAAGAAGAAGAGGACTGCCACACGCTTCTCCTGAGTTTGAGCTCTGACCCTGAGGCTCTGGGGTTGGATGATGAAATGCACAGCTGCCTCCTCTGAGGAGTCATCATAACCAGTGTGATGAGCAGTGTCACTTGAGGGCCAGTAATGTGTCCGTGGAAGGACTCTTGGCTGTGTGGCCTTGAATAATTTCTTTGCCTCTCTGACCCTCAGCTTCCCAATCTGTAATATGGATGGAGGTAGTCCAACTTACATCCCATGGTCCATATGACCATGGACTAACTACTCCCTCCACAGGAACACCAAAGCCACCACAGCATCCCACTCTGCCACCCAAGAACTCTGGGAAAATGGCTGATTGGAAATTTGGAGCAAGTAAGGAGCCTAAAAGCATCCTTTCATTGATGTTACTCATCAGTGTGAGAAGACTGGCCACAGACACTGCTAGGGCAAGTATGCCCAGTCTCAGAGTCACAGCCAGCAGAAGGGTGCATCCTCCCTTCTCCAAAAGCCCAGGAGCAAAGGCAATGGTCTTGAGGAAGGGCTGCTCCTTGGGGCTCAGGTGCAGGAGCAGAGATAAGGAGAAGGAAGAAGAGACTAGCCGTGGGGAGGAAGCCACTTTGGGTACCCGGTACCTGCTGTGGAACCCATGGTCAGGTCTATCTAGGTGGTGGTGTGTGTTCATCTGCACATAACTTCTGGAGTGTGTTTGAGGACAGGTGATCTAAAGCCACCCAGAGCTCTAGTTGGAAAAGGGTCACACCATGCCAGCTCTGTTGCTGGCAAATCTATTAGCCAGGAGACAAGAGACAAGAAAGCATGGCACTCCTCGCTCTCCGCATGGGCTCGGGAGCTGTGGGTCAGCCCCACAGGGAGAAGCTCTCAGCCTTTCTGAAGGATTCAGTCAGATGTTTAAAAGCCTTTCCAGTGCTGTTTATTATCTAAGTGGCAGGTGACCTCATCACCCTTCTCCCCTCATCAGTAAGTGACCTCTGCAGTCTCCGGGGACCACCCCAAGGGGCATAGCTGGGCCCTGTGCTCCCAGCCCACTGGTCTGAAGGCAATGCATGAGTGAGAGGGATAAGTGGAAATTTAATATTTCATTCTGACCATCCTTTCAGGTAATAGCTTTGGCCAGGGCACATTTGGAGAGTAGAATGAAGAACACCTGGGGTGGGGTAGGCAGGGGGCACACGTGGAGTGTGAGAACCTGGAACAGCGGTTGTGGGGACGGAAGAAGGGCCCCAGAGCCTCTGGAAGGCTCATAGCATACCAGGGCTGGTTTGACTATGTTCAGATTATTGCATGGTGGCACCAGGACACTAGGCAGTCACTGTCACAGTGAATGAACCCTAGTGTGAAATAGGCCCAAGCTGTGGCAATAGGGATAAGAAAGCTGAAGAAACCACCCAATGAAATTTGTAGATGCATTTAATAGCATCTGGCCCCTCAAAGAGGCCAATTTCCAAGGCCCTTGGGCTGAGAAGCAATTTCAGAGTGCAGGGTCAGTGGTCCCACAATGTAGTAGATAGAGTACCTATCTTCTTCCATCCTCAAAGGCTATCACTAAGGGTGGGGAGGGGCTCAGGATGCAGCCTTGGCCAAATAGGATATAGCTTTTGTCCCTAAGGGTGTTAGGAAGAAAGTGGCAGATTGGCCTGTTGCCACTCCCAAGAGCAGGGCAGGAAAGCCACTCAAGCTCAGTGTGTCTGTCCCAACTCTTACTTCCAGTGAGTGAAGTCTGGGCTCATCCCATGGGCATGCCAGTTGAGCCAGTTTTTTGGACCAAGGATGGTGGGCCTTCACAGGGAGTGTCTTTGCAAATGTGCCTGCCCAGACATGAGTGTGGGTGTGTTCTTCTATAAGCATGTGTGAGCCAGTGTGAGCGGGCAAGCCACTGTCTGCATGCTGAGTGTGCAAATGGAAGCCTGGGGCTATGCTGAGGGCAAATGTGCCTGTCTCCAAGCCAGCAAATGGCAGTGTGTTTGGGAGTATGAGAATGCCGCTGAGCCCATACCTCTGGGAGTTCCTCTTCCAGCTTGCAAGAGCCCTGTCAGACAATGGGGAAACTACACAGCTGCTTCAGCTGCAGGAAGACAGCAGGATTTTTCAGGGTATGACCCCATGCCTTGCAATTCTCCCTGTGGCTGGCCTCATTGCATGCTGGGAAATGTAGTTCTCACAACTTCCTGGCCTGATCTGATGTAGGTCATTTCCTGCCTGCTAAAACATTGCGCTTTGGTTGTGGAAGCAAGCTCAGACATTTTCTTTAACCCTGGAGCTTAATTCCAAACTATAAACCCTAACTCCAGTTCACCTCAGATCTATCCAGCGCCCTCCACACTGGGCCACCCATCTTAGTTTGGGAACTAGGGACCCAGAATGAGAAATCCCATTGCTCTGAGGTCCTGTCCATCCCAGGTTCCCAGAGGGAAGCCTGTAACCCTTTAGAAGCAGGGCCAGGTGGGCCACTTTGTAAGAGGATGTGAGAGGGTCCAGCTGGGCCCCCAGCAACAAGAGCAGATGATCCCAGTTCTAGGTTCTTCCCTCTCTACCTAGCTGTAACCCTTATGGCTCTGCTTCCACCACAGAGACAGAAGTTGCTGGCTGGCTATGACAAATGGAGGGTTTTTTGTTTTTTTGAAGGAAGTGGCAGAGTTTTATTTATTGGCTCATCCAGTGGGCACTACAGACTTAGGAGAGGAGCAGGATGTCCCTTTCCTCCTGCTGGCACATGAATTAAGTTCCCATAACCACCCCTTTCTTCTATCTCCCTCACTTAGTACTTTTGTTCTGGCATCTTAGCTATCCCTGTGCTCTACACAGACCTGACACTAAAGTAGTCAAAACAACATGGATTCCCTTTGGTCCCAAAAGGGACCACAGGAACAGTAAACCTCATCAGAGCATAGAAAAAATAAACAAGAAAGAGGACCTGGGCTGGGGAGGTCAGAGGTAGAGAACCAATATAATCTGCCCCTAAGCCACTACTCTACTCCTATCCTGACTACTATATAATGAGATCCCCAGTGTGTCCTGGGCCCACTTCATCTGTGGACCAGACTGAATGCTTGCACTGCCTGGAGTGAGCCTCATCTTCAAGGCAAAGCCATGACATGAGAGAATGTGTTCTTTCACTCACCAAAGATTTCTTTGCCATGTCATCTTGGTATTTGGAATAAACCAGTGAGCAAAAGAAACCAAACTCCATCCTTGTGAAGACTGTGGGGTCCTGAAGATGACACAGGAAAAAGAACAGGGAGAGAAAGGTCACTGAGCTGGAGATGAGAGACTTGTACATCGCATTTTTATAGACGGTGGGTAGGGAAAGTGTTCATGAGTAGGTGATATTCAAGCCCTGAAGTAGATGATGGCATGAAGTTCCAGCCTGCAAGAAAGCAGGGCCAGATGGTGTCAGAGGTCATGGAGAATATTCTAGGCTCTGTGACTTTGAGCTTTTTCTGAGAGGAAAACAGTCATTAGAGACTCTGGGCAGGGTAGCGATAGGATGTGACTTACACTTTAATGGGATCTTGCTGGCTGCTATATCAAATACAGTCCGTGGAAGCAAAGAGTGGAAGCAGTTAGGTGTCGATAGCCATAAATAATCCAGGTGAGAGATGGTGGTGTCTTGGAGGAGGGTGGTTGGTATGGAAGGGGGAGAAGTGGCTAGATTCTAGATTTATTTCAAAATATAATTTACAGAGTAGTTTGGGACACCAACCATTCTCATCAGACAGATGATACAGCAAACCC